ACCACTTACTGCCCAGAACCTACTATGGACCAAGTCGAGTTCAGAAAAGCTACGGTCAATTTGAGTAGTACGGCTAACACTCCGTCACCTATCTTGTCTTATTACTCGGAATGGATGAAATTGGTTAGGGCTGTAGCGTGGCTAAGAAGGTTCATAGACTTCTGGATAATACTTCACTCGCCGAGGATTGAAGGCTCCGTCACGACAGGTTGCCTAAAGGTCAAGGAGCTTGAGTCAGCCAAACGGAAGGTCCTGATGGTTGTTCAAAGGGAGGCATACGGAGAATTACTGAATGAATCCAACGTTAGTCGTAAAGAAGTGAGTAATAAACGTCTGAGAGGTTTAGCACCAATAATGATTGATGGGTTACTCTGCGTCGGAGGTCGCCTAATGTACTCCGAACTACCGAGCGAGTCGAGACATCCTGTAATTTTGCCTGGTCGACATAGGGTAACCGAATTGATAGTTAGACACAATCACAAGGAAGAAGGACATATGGGAACTTCGCATGTGTTAGCTACGATCCGCAAGTACTATTGGATAGTTAAGGGCACCAGCACGGTTAAAAGAGTAATAGGAAAGTGTGAAACTTGTCGAAGGTTCACTTTGTGTCCAGGGAACCAACAGATGGCGCCACTCCCAGTTTACAGAGTGCAGAAGGGTTGGTATAGTTTCGCGACGACAGGTGTGGACTACTTCGGACCTCTTCTGGTCAAGAGGGGTAGGTCACTAGAAAAAAGATATGGTTGTGTGTTTACCTGCCTGCAGACAAGAGCAGTACATATTGAGATGGCATACAGTCTGAATGCCGATTCATTTATAATGGCTTTAATATGTTTTATCGAAAGAAGAGGGAGACCGACAGATGTGTTTAGTGACAACGGATCAAACTTCGTGGGGGCAGTCACTGAACTAAAGAGCTTCGTGCAACAGTGGAACCATCAGAAAATTAGTAAGGAATTATCGTCAAGACAAATTCAATGGCATTTCAACCCTCCACTAGCCAGCCATAGAGGTGGAGTCTGGGAACGAATGATTAGGTCTATACGAAGGCTGCTATTATTGATCACCAGGGAACAAGTGTTAACAGATGAAACCTTAGGTACGCATCTGATTGAAATTGAGAGAATTCTAAACGATCGACCCCTAACCCCGGTAGTCCAGGATGCTAACGACCGACTAGCTTTATCACCAAATAGCCTACTGTTATTGAGAGAGTGTGACGGAATAGCTGAGGAAGGAAGTATTAGTGACAAGTTCCACAAACGTTGGAAGCAGGTAAATTACTTAGCCAATGTGTTTTGGAAAAGGTGGTTAAAGGAGTATTTGCCTTCCTTACAAACCCGTCAGAAATGGCTAAAGGAGCATCGCAATTTTCAGAAAGGAGACGTAGTTATTGTCGCCTCGGATATTACTACTCCTGGGAAATGGCCCTTAGGGATAGTAGAGGATTGCGAGACAGATAAGGACGGAAAGGTCAGAACAATAGTTGTTCGTACTAATAACGGGGTAGCGAGAAGAGACATACGAAGGGTGTGTCTCCTAGAAGGTTCCAACTAGATAGGTTATATCCACATTGGATGGCGGGTAGGCGTACTGCTGTAAGTCCTACACGTTCTTCCGGTGTGGATTAGGGGATGAGTGGGAGCCCTAAATAGAAGTGTCATTAACGCTTGCTTTTTGCATGGAGGAATTTTGCGGGCCGGTGTAGAATCCTTTTTGAATGTTTTGTTTTTTGGAAAATCCCTCCATGTTTATATATTTTTGTTATGACATGACGGACTCTCTTTCTGTTGACATTTCGCTATTTTATTTGATTCCAATTTCAGATTTGTCATTGTATATTGTTATTATTTCTATATTTTGTACTTATATTGAAGTTTTTGTGTTTGCTTCTGAACTGTACATATGTTGTTTAAATTTGATATAATATGGCTACCGCCACATTTTTGGATTGATATCGTGCAGTATAGGAGTTCACCTAGACTTCGGAACCTCGATACTCATTCGGAGTAATTTTGAATTGGAAGGCGTAAAATCTGTTAGGTATTGTTTGTATTTCCATTTATTATCTATTAATAGACCATTTTCCCCTAGAATTATTGTGTTTTTATATTTCAAATCGGGAAGTGCGTCCGACATACGTCTATTGGAATCGAATTGAACTGCTACGATAGAAAATCCAATCACAATTCCTTGAGACGTAATAACTATTCTGAATGAAGAACTAACTCACAGGGCAGAGTTTAAATGGTTTGAATTTATTTTTAAGGCTAGTATTCCTTTAGCGATTTGATTTTCCATGCGATGGGTTCACTAGCCTTATTCATAACCCTCCTCTAATACACGGGCTTGAGACCGGCAGTAGCCAGTAAGAGGCTACAGACGGAGTGAGCCAAACTCATCAGTTATGATTTAAACCTAATATCTTAGGTGAGTATTTACTTCGCTACTTTATTTCTTATCCTATCAAATTTCGATTGTTGAAATTTCTGTTTTTTTTAATTGTAACCCCCTGCTCATCCGTACAACCAATCAAGTCTTCAATGAATACGTGATACAGTCACGTTAATGGATTTCACTATACATACTGTTGGAGTAGATAGTAATTTCCAATAGTCTTTCGGCTTGAATAATATTTATTGCAGTTTATTTACTGGCTTCTCAGGGATGTACGTTTTCAACTGACTAGCTGACGTGGTGTCACTTTCCTCGAAATCAGTTTTTGTTTTTGGTCAGTTGATTCACACTTAACAATAAGTAAGTACTAACGAAAATCACGTTTATTTGATCTTCAGTAATGATAGCTTCCTATCAACATGTGTACAATACTACCACCAATTTAAATGAAAGGACATTTACACTAGTATTGAAAATTACGTTGCTCCAAACGATCGGCTCAAATCTTTGGGCTAGGCCTCGTGCTAGATGTTACTCAGTGAAAATGTCCACCTAAGACTTTTGGGCAAATGAAAATCCTTGTTGTTGACTGACTTGAAATACTAATGTTTGACTGAACCTGAATTTTCTGCTTTACAGATCATAGTGAATGTCACTGAACGGTATCATTAACGAATAGTTCCAATTAGAGTTATATTTCGTCAAACAAGTTTATAATCGAAGATTTCACACTTTCTTGCTTATCATTTCAAGGAATGATACAGTTCCTGAAAATTGCTTCTCTCTGGATACAGGGTTGATTGAAATTTCTAGTAAATTAAGTTAAGAAACCACCCTTTCATAACTTACGGGATTCGTTCTCAAACATCGCAGGGGAGATACAGATGCAGCAAACACTGAATTCAGGGTCATGTACATCATCTTACAATCGAAGTTGAGCAAAAGAGAAATAACTACGGGCGATTAATAATTACCTTGGGATTTTTCAAATTGGGAACAGTTCTTGAAAACCCGTACAGACTACTAAGCCGAAGCTTCTAGAATTTCATGATTTTTCGAATAGTATTTACCCCTGTGAGTAGTATATGCCATGCTTGCCCGCAAATTTCAAGTGGAGGTTAGTACTGGTTGATGATGTCAGAACACGTCACACGTGAGGGAATGCGGTTGCTACTTTTGACTAGCACGGATGGACTTCCACGGAGGAAATAATTTAGCACAGTGTGGTTAAACAGGGCGTCTCTTCAATTTTGTTGATGGATCTAGGTTCCTGCTTTGCGAGAGTCAAGTTTTTATCTCACGCAGGTCATCTGGGCATCAAGAAGATCCGTACACCTTTATACTATCGGTAGACTAGTGAGCTAGCGGAACAGAATAATCTTACACTAAAGATATAGTTACAGATATAGGAAGTAACTGGGAGACGGCACTGCCAATGATAGCATTAGCTTTGAATCAAGGAGCAATAATAAACATGTTATACCAACAGACAACAAGACAGGTTGTAATAACCAAGATGGGATCGTACTCAGTGGCATAACGGCAGTGTATAATCCGTGATGAAACTACCAAATAAATCAAGAATAAACTTGAACAGATCTGACTGTCATCAGCAGACAAAGTAGAAGTTCTGAAATGCAAGAGATGGTGTAAAATATTGAAAATGAAAATGGATGGCAGGAGTGAACTTTTTTGACGTAAACAGGATGGTTTACAATTGGTGGTAGCACTATTATGCATCAGAGCGTTTCCCAGAACTTGCTACCTAAGAGAGTAGTATCAAGAGATCGAAGTTCACGGCGTGACTAGAGGATTCTGAAGATCAGAGGACGAGTGAGTGGGACGGTTAATAACCTGCTCAAGGAGGACATAGAAAGACCAGCAGAATCATTCAGTAATTGTGCTCTTCGAATGCTGAAAATTTAAGGATACCACTAGGAAAAATGTAAACGAACTAGTGAGGGAAGCATTTGTGGACAGTTCAAGTTCAATCGGCACTAAAGTTGCCGATCTACATTTGTTAGAGTTAAGGAGTCTCAAAAGTTACTTTCTAAAGACCTAAAACATCTTAAAATCTCTTGATCATCCCCGTAAATACCTACTTAAGATCCAACAAAAAACTTAAGGGGAGTACCAAGAAACTCATAGCACAACGTAGCAGAAGGGACAGCAGGCATACTTTTTACTCTTTACTAGTAGTCATTTTCTGAGACTCTTTACCATTCGAGACGTTCTAAGCTACTTTTCAAGAGTCCTCCAGAAAGAAACATATTCACAGGGACTCAAAACAGTAGTCACTATAATTAACTGACATTTTTCAATTGCTCATATCTAGCAGATACGGTGATACACAACTACTGGATACCGAAGCCAGTTAAGTGAGTAGTTCATCTATTCAGTTCACAACCGTTTTGAAAATAAATATTTTGTACTGAGACAGAGATCTCAAGCACATTTAGGCTTGCACTTTTCTGATGGAACTAATTGAAAATGAAGTACGTCTTTCTATTAGATGGTGTTTCATCAGTCAGTTAGTACAATTAAGAAATAATCAACAAATTTGTAGACATAAACGCCCTAACGATCATCAAAAATTGTAATAATCTGCTTGCTACTGAGGATGGTAATCTCCATCTCGACCTTGGACACATTTTCAAGTAAGACGTTACGACAGCGTGCATTGCTGTGATGAAGCCAGGTTGGTTGTCGACTAATATTAAGTTTGTTACTCTGATGTCATAGAATCAGGAGACGGTTTTAGAGGTGGACGAGGTAGAGGAGGCCAAAGACATAGTTTTGGTGGTGAAAAAAGCATAGGTGATGGAAATCGAGGTGGCGGGAGAGGTGGGCGTTTCAGCGAAAGAGGCGGCTTTCGAGGTGGTCGTGGAGGCGACTTCGGTGGACGTGGAAGAGGGAGAGGTGACTTTGGTGGTCGAGGTCGTGGGGGTTTCAACAGAGGCACACCACGAGGAAGAGGTGGACGTGGAGGAATGAGAGGAGGGAAAAAAGTGATGATAGAACCCCACAGACATGAAGGTATTTTCGTTGCCAAAGGCAAAGAGGACTGCCTGGTAACGAGGAACGTAGTCGTTGGTGAGTCGGTATACGGTGAGAAGCGGATCAGTGTCGAAGACGACGCCGGTGGCAAAATTGAATACAGAGTGTGGAATCCTTTCCGGTCAAAATTGGCAGCTGGCATAGTTAATGGGCTTGATCAAATTCATATCAAACCAGGAAGTCGTGTTTTGTATTTGGGAGCTGCTAGTGGAACTACGGTCTCCCATGTTTCTGATGTTGTCGGAGCAGATGGAGTAGTGTATGCCGTAGAATTTTCTCATCGTTCCGGACGCGACCTTTTGAATGTCGCTAAACATCGAACAAATGTGGTTCCAATCATAGAAGATGCTAGACATCCTCATAAATATAGAATGCTAGTTGGTATGTATGAATCAGTGGCTTACATGCTTTAGGTATGGTGGATTGTATCTTTGCGGATGTTGCTCAACCTGACCAGTCAAGAATAGTAGGAGTTAACGCCGAGTACTACTTGAAAAACGGTGGTCACGCCGTTATATCCATCAAAGCTTCATGTATCGACTCAGTTGCTGCTCCTGAGGTGGTGTTTGCAAAGGAAGTCGATACACTTCGAAAATTACAATTTACCCCACGTGAACAGGTTACTCTTGAACCGTTCGAGCGTGGCCATGCAATGGTGACTGCCCAATATCGGTAAGTTGTAGTTATACGTATAATTTTCTTCCCTCAGGGCACCTAAAAAGGTTAAGACTGAACAGTAATGACATTTACTTGGTTTACCTATGTAAATAAACTATTTTATTGAAGCATTTCGAATTGTATAGTATAAAATCACCAACCATGTAATAAAGTTGTTAGTGACATCCACCCTACTTCTCGGCAAATTTGGCTCTCAGATACAGAGAAATATATATGTAAAAATAAAGAGTGATCCTGTTTGGGTGATTCATCTTTGTTTTTAGACATTAAGGTAACTGTGCAATCAACATTTACCAGGCCATCGCTTTTCGTATATATTAACTAGTTTTTATTACGATATGCGAGCGATATAATACCGCAGTTGGCCAAGAGTTTTTAATACCGACGCTTGTTTCTAAATAGCATCCTGCTGATTTGTTAAATAATCCATGTATATTATGTTCATATGCTTGTCTATTCAAGCTTCTGGCCAGTTAAGCCTTTCTCATGGTATGAACAACAAGATCTACTTGCGTTAGAAGGTCCCTAGTTGTTAATTTTTCTCACAGAAGTGTAACCTTAATTTGTGGACATCACAGTTTTAAAATAGATCTTGTAGCTGTAGTCCGGTCGTCTTGTGGCCGCGGTGCTTTGTTCTCACGAATTTAGGCTCTCGTCCGTGTACCAACTCTTAGGCAGTGCGACAGAACAAAAAATGGCACAGACCAGTCCTATGTTTTGATTAAATGTTTGAGTATGAAAAAGATCAGTCTACGAACGTTCAAACAATATGTTGGTTGAGTTGGTATTATTTAAAAATCAACTAGTCGATACTGGCAAACGCTCGTTTCTTGTAGTAGAGAGAATTGAAGTATCAAGCATGACGAATTAGTTTGGCTAAAACGTTAGATCATCGCTCTCTTTTTTGTGGTAGCGTTTCCCAACTCATTACTGAACTCTGATAATCTTAGGTGAGGCCATTCGAATTAAAGATGCTTTCAATGTTTGAGGTTTGATTGTTATGGAAGCCTCTAACAGACTACTAGATCAACCGTATATGAACAGGCAAAGACACTATACAAGTCTTACTGGAAACAGGATTCGAATAGAGTAAATGGGTCCAAATTCAGTGGAGAATTTCGCATACAAAAGCTAGAACGAACGGCTACTTTTACCCTGTATCTATCCCAACCTACCATAACAGCCCTCGATTTTTGTCCTATGAGTGATGGTCAGCTGCAGTCAGTGGGAGCGTAGGCAAATACGACGAAGAGTCAACGGCGTGTCCCTATCTTTCCGAGTCTGTATCGTCCCGTTTAGTCGGACAGCGCAAAAATGATTGTGTACCTGGATTCAATTCAAGAGAGCTAGTTCTGCCCTAGGACTTAATACTATACCTACTCAGGCAAGGCGACGGGAAGCGGCTTCGGGGCTACCTAAAACACGAAGCATAAAGCGTGCTGTTTCGCTATCTGCATTAGGTGAAATAAGTTGGATTATTTCACTCGGATCTTCTATGCGCGTTTCGGGGACGCAACATCAGTGCTGATGGCCTGGTGTGCGACGAAGTCTCAACAACGAATCAGAAGGCCTGATCGGCCCTTACCTACCTGCGTCATTTATAGTGTAGGCGAGATATCCGTTTGCTGACCAAAGGACGAGTGTACTGATCAGTAGTTCGCTCCGTCCTACTTAATGGCTGTGAAACATGACCACTTAGGGTAGAAGATATTCGTAGGTTACTGGTTTCTATCACAGGTTTCTCCAAAGCATTGCACGAATATCCAGGGGCCACCGACTATGCAATGCTTTCGTTAAGAAACGAGTATTAGATAGGGATGGCAGTACAGTAGATGAAGTATTGAAACTTCAGTTGAGGTGATTGGGACATGTGTTACTAGATCACATCGCCATCAGCCACCGATGGAGGGGTTCGATAGAGGACTGTCGCTCGTTCTGGAGCACATGTCTAGATTCAGATCATGCCCTAGTGCGAGCGCGTATTTGTTTGAAGCTTACTGGAATTCGCTACATCAAGTGGTGTCCGTCAGGGATGTCCTTTCTCTTCATTCTTGTTTAATTTTATCATAGACATGCTCCTAGAAATAACCTTATCCTCGTCTGAATTTTCTGGAGTAGACCTTTTACCAGGTGGCTCGCTTATTGACTTAGAATATGCCGATGACATAGTCCTACTTGGTGAAGACACTGACAAAATGCAGAGTCTTCTGACTACCCTAAGCAACAATCCAAGCATGTTCAGGATGCGGTTTTCCCCCTCGAAATGCAAAATGTTGCTTCAAGATTGGGTTTCATCGGCACCTGAACTAGTGATAGGGAGTGAAGTGGTCGAACGTGTAGACCGCTTCACTTATCTTGGGAGTCTCATCAGTGCTGATGACTGACGAAATCTCAGCTCGGATACAGAAGGCTCGATTGGCTTTTGCCAACCTGCGTCACTTATGGCGTAGGCGAGATATCCGTTTGCTGACTAAAGGACGAGTGTACTGCGCAGTGGTTCGCTCCGTCTTACTTTATGGCTGTGAAACATGGCCAGTGAGAGTAGAAGATACTCGTCGGTTATTGGTTTTCGATGATAGGTGTCTTCGAAGCATTGCTCGTATATCGTGGGACACCCGAGTGAGCAACGCTGTTATTAGGAAACGGGTACTAGGTAAGAATGGCAGATCAATAGATGAAGTGGTGAAACTTCATCAGTTGAGGTGGTTGGGACACGTGTTGCGTATGCCTAACCACCGACTGCCTCGTCGAGCTTTGTTTTGTGGTGTAGGAATAGGTTGGAAGAAAGTTAGGGGCGGCCAAACCAAAACATGGCAGAAATCCATGAAGTCATTGACAAGTGGACTTAGCCATGTCGGTATTGTCGACTACCTGGTTGGGGTCCGCGAGATGATAATAATCGATGGTTAGAGACCTTGAATGACGACATGGCTCAAAATCGTTCGCAATGGCGCCAGTGCGTTTATTCTTTGTGTTCTCTCAAATCCTAATCTTCTGGATTCTTCAACACCTCTAATTTTTACTTTCTAAACTTATCTCATTGAATCATACTTCGTGAATAATATCTTCTAATTCTAACCTCTCCGATTACTTCTAATACCTTTACTACCTCTTCTACTATTGGATTTGAATTGACAATTATATCTCTGTGCTGATGTGGTATGGCGACATGAACTGATGTACTTACGTACGAAGTTCTACGTTGCAACTGACTGACTGACTGTGTTACGTATGCCTAACCAACGACTGCCTTGAAGAGCTATGTTTTGTGGCGTAGGAGTAGGTTGTACGAAACCTAGGGGCGGCCAAAACATGGCACGAATCTGTGAAGTCATTAACAAGTGGAATGAGTCATGTTGGTAGATGTAGGCTACTTGGGTGGGTCCGCGAGTCAAAAGTCGCCGATGGTTAGAGACCTTGAGCGGCTCAAAATCGTTTGCAGTGGTGCATGTGCATCCACTCTCTGTGTTCTCTCAGACCCTAACCTTCAGAGTTCCTCACCACCCTTATCTTTTTAAGTTTATTCCACTGTACGTACGTACGAAGTTCTAAGTTGCTGTTGATTGATTGATGGTTAGCTACAGTTTCTGCATATTCTGTTTAGCTCTATCAATTTACTCAGTATTTTCAATTGATCCGCTGAATTTAACCTCAGCTTTTATACGACTAGTGACTCAGTTTTGCCCAGTGAGGCGTGATGCAACTGAGCAATATAGTTGTCGTCAAACTTAATCTGTCACTTACGACCAGAATAGGCACTGACGTTGTTAGTGGGACAGATGGAATTAAAGCATGACTACGTTGCTGTGCGCTGATTTGCTAATTTCCTATCCAATCAGCGCCTGGTCGATTCTTGGAGAACAGGGTAGAAAACTATCGTGTCGTTAGCTGCACGCTGATTGGCTAAATCTATTCTAGGCGATCACGTGAATTACGATGCAGAAGCTTCTCATGTAAATGCTATAAAGAAACTAACGTTGTATCTATTTTGCCTTCGCCTTCTTATTTCCATTTAACCTTGCTATTTGGAATATAATCCTTTCCTGTTCCACCGTGTTTTTGATTCTTTGGAACTTGTCCAGTCTATCGTGGTCAGAGAATACTAAGCAATAGGAATTAGCTGGGAAGTGTTTAAGCAAGCGTTACAACAGACGTAGATCAGTCAATATTGTGTATTTAAAGAAAAGGAAACGCACCTCGAGCTCTCTAGTTGTTTAAGTTGAAAAATGAACCGCCAATTGTCAGATGTAAAAAGTGTTACGACAGAAGAGGCCATATTTATTTGTTAGACTTATTTCATAACATTCGGAAAATTATTCAGAAGACTACGAACAAAACTTGAATTCTCTTTTTTTAATTATATACATATTAAAAGCGTCACGAACGCTTTGCTGCTGGAAGATAATTTCGAGTTAGGGTCGGTCGGTTAGCTCTAAGTAGCTAAACGGAGAAATCAAAGATGCTACGTTATTACTATTTGAATACGAACCTCAGAATGTAGACTCTAGACCTTACTGTGGTTCACAGTAAGTCAAAACGCAACAAGGAGTTTTAGGCCCAATATGCCCGAAATGACAGGGAAACTGGGCAGAAGTCGAGTGGATAGATATATGGTCGTAATGAGCAGCAAAGAAATTAGGTATGACATGTGAAGTCACTTGATAAAGAGGTAACAAAAGATTAATTTCCATTTACAATTAGTATATACGCATAAAGTAAATGAAACAAACATTTACGGCGGTGTAAATACTCGGAAACGATGATTCAGTTGTCTTTGGACATGAAGACGACTCGCATTAGTAAACGCACCGCCACCCACAAGCCGTTGGCAGCAAAATACCCGTCTAATGCGATTGTGAAGTAAAGCCATACCACACATTAGACATGGTTCAAGTGAAACATACGCATCAAAACCTGTGCATAAGTAGAAGTCAGAGTACTGATTTCCTGAATCCTTTCTCAATTTAGCGACAGCTGATACAGCAAGTAATACTGCATGATCTAACCAAGATATGTCTGATTTTGCCGTAGGTGTAGTTGATTCTGCTAATGCAATATTCGACTTTGGGTCGACAATGATAACTGCACAAGCCGGACCATCAACGCCTGCACATGACTGCGGGTGTAGATTATTTAGTTCTTGCACTTGTTTCGACAAGACAGAAACACGTTCAAGCCATAAAGAATGCCTGAAAAAGATAACCAAAGTATCAGTGTTCAATGTGAGAAATCTTTGGTGTATTAACATTTTATGCCGTAACGTAACTAAGGAAATCGATAATGTACATCTAGCTAAAACAAGCGCGGTACTGAGAATAATAAGACAACCTGATTGTCAAAACTAGAGTAAACAGTGAGGGGTTCGAGAGCTTGAGGTTTTATTAAGATCTCTAGGTAAGTTGCACAGAGTTAGGCATCGATTGCTATCAAAAACTCACTGCATCTATTGAACAACATGAAGACGATTCTAAACAAGTATGCTGAATTCTATATATATTTAGGTTTTACTTATCTACGACGAAGCGAATCACAGTATTAAGTTTGAAAAAAAGTGTTATGTAACAAAAACATGAACATAAAATACTTAGATTAGGCTTACAGACATACAGTCTCATAGGAAATTCGCAATGCTATTTGAATAACTTAGATAAATGAGTATACGCATATAATGCGTTTGAATTCGATATGAAATAATGGCAAACAGTTGTTACGGGTAAGTGGTCATATACATAAAGTTCAAGGAAGGTTAGCATTCGAGGAGATAATGGTTGTCGTTTTGAAGTGTGTGAATGATTAAATATACCATCATATTTAGCAGGTTGAATAATATCATTTCTCGTGCAGCATCTCCAAGGTTTTGAGATGGTGGAGAAAACTTGTAGCTCAGGTGGATGATTGTGGTGGTGTTTCGTTCTCTGAGCTGGTTGTTTTGGTTGTGGAGCTTTCATTGTTGTTCAGGAGAACAATTCCACCTCTATAATAGCGGGGCACTGGCAACTTGAACTGACGTACATACATACCAACCTCTACTTTGCAAATGATTGGTTGATGCTTCTCCATCATTAGATAACACTAAAGTTTGCCGGTTAATAACAATGTAGTATGAAATCTGTTTAACACATGAGTACCATATATAATAATTTCCAATACATAAATTTTAAGGATTAAACAACCTACTTTTTTAGCTCTAGCTCTGAGAAGCATGACAATGATAGGTTTCGTCCAACATTCACTAGTCCTTCAAGCTCAGGACAGGCTCGTAATGTGGATGGCCAACCTAACACGATTGGCTGATTGAGTGAATTTGTAAATGAGGTAAGTTTCTCCTCTTGTGATCCATTCGAAAATGAGTAGAGGAGTTGGTGCTTACGAGTTAACGGTTCGTGAAGTGGTATCCAGCATGGTATTGGTGATGTGCCAATACACTGGTTATCGGATGAATTCAGCTGTAGTTCGTTGAACATTGAAGTTAAAGTTGCATTGGCGTCTAACCATGTATAGCTGGGAAAAATGGAGGTAAGGAAATCAATAAGGTTGAACAAAAGTAACACCTCAGTATAACCTGAAAAGTATCAATAGTAAAACATCGATTTGTCATGCTACATATGAGACACTGACGTATATTACTCTGCAAACTGTAGAATTAGTTCTTTAGGAAAGTTATTACCAATCGAAGTAAATTTAATTTTAGCTAATAAGTCCAAATTGTATCTTCTGAAAATAACCAGATAAAAACCGGTGAATAAATATGCGCTCAATACTAAACTTGCAGTTAGCTAGAGTAGCCTGACGCCCTTAAAAGAGTTGTAAGAAGCCTATGAAAGCCGAGTATTTATAGGTGAGACGTTTTGCAACGCCACAGATGTAATTAGCCATTAACCCGAATTCATGCAAAACGAACCCAATGCTTATTTATACTTTTTGTTGGACTGAATATTAGCCCTGAACCTGATGCGGAACGATATTTCGTTGCGACGGATGCAGAAGCCACTTTCCTTACACTATTCCGTCCACAAAAATAAAGTTGCTAGCCACTAAAACGTCAGATATGGTTGGCTCAGATTAAGGCATGATCAGAGTCCAAATGCGTACTCTCAAAGGAGTGACAATCAAACAAGCGATAGACGGTCATTATAGAACTATTCTGAATCCAGGCATGAGTTGTGAAGAGAGAACACGAGACAGTGCATCACTGATAACAATATAAAAAGTGGGTGCTGACCAGAAACTAGTCGTAGTCTGCGCAAGGCAACAGGAGACGGTCATCATTGTCTCACCTGCAGCTAGTTAACAAGTAACCACTGATCATCCAGACGACTCTCCTTTGTATTTAGATGTCGGACCAGCTGATCCCAATCTCCAGTTAGCACTACAATACCTGTAGAACGTGATTTATTGAAACGTTTAAGTGGTTGTAAGACATCCCAAATTGCATCTGAGATGCAATCTGTTGGGAATAACAAAAAGACACTGTTTTCACATTGATTCAATTTCCCTTAAGCGCAGGTTTTAACTTAACACAACTTGCATGACTTTAAATAGGGATCCAGTTGGTTAATTCTGACTTTACTCTTGAGCTGCACGTGATGTCTACGCCATCAAAAACCAGAAGAAGATGACAAGGGTCCATGGATAGGCGAATATGAAACAAGCTTTTCAATGCCACTGATGGACGGCCAATTTCTAGTTTTTTCTGAACATGGGTCTCGGACAGACAACATACGTCAGTGCTAATATTTTGCAAGGATAACTAAAACTATCTGTCATCACGCGCGTATGTGTGTAAACATTGAGAATGGTCAAAAAACATAATTACACCTGATCGAAGTAGAACAAAATAAAAAGGGGGAGTAAGATAATACCAAAACACTTGAATTAAGTAGGTAATAAATACCGTCGGAGTAGGTACTGAGGCAGAGCGAGTGAGTCACTTCATAATTACTCATTGTCATATTTTTGGAAGAGCTGGGGTATTGCTCGGTAGCTTAGATCAAAGTCTGATATTTTCTTAAACGGTCGTTCGCATAACCTTTTAATTCAAAAGGCAGCAAAAAAACGTCAGAGGTTGCTATCCCATCGTAACCGGTGATCAAATGTGGGTTTATGACCCATTTGATCCCTCAGGAGGATTATGGAACCCATGTGCACTGTAGGTTTGGAATCAAGGTTTTAAAATTCCTGTTGATGAGTCCTCTGTGCCCATCAACCCGGTTTAAGCGTTGGAAATCAGCTTTTTGTCATGTCACTTCAGTCAATAACATCCCTGCAGCGAAAAAGCATCGAGTAGAACTTTCCTTGCAGTGTCCATGAAGGCTTTTTAAGGAAAGCGAACTCTGCCCGCTACTGACCGTACTTCAACGAACTCATTATTAGTTAGCTATTATTGGCTTATTCGAAGGTATCAAAATTAGCAATTCCGTAATCATACCTTCACCATACAAAAAAAATGAAGGTCAAGGTTTGAAGAAAACCATTCTGTTTAGTTCGATTTAGAAAATCCGTGACGTGAAGTCCATTAAATGAGCCTGTACACAGAAAATGAATTAAAACAGAAGAAACAAATACTAATTCGCATTGGATACATAATTACGACGTTTCTAGTACAAACCTTGGTTTGGCTATCTGTAAGAAGACATAAGTTGATTTAGTTCCAATTAATCGGCAGCTATCTATTCGTTTAATATGACAGAGTTCTTTGGATAGTGGAACAAAAGATTGTAAATACTGATTAATTTTACTAAGATAATGACCTGAGTGAACTGATACACACCAGCCTGGCACCAGATGTGATCGACAACATTCAACTTCATGTGGAAGTATTGCTATTAATTTGGAGGCTATAATACAATGTTCATTTTGTTTTATAGTGTGATAATTATCATCATCAAGTCGTTTGCGGCGTTTGGATGTCACAGAATTGATCTGTAATTAAAAAAAGAAAATTAAATTCACATATCCTTTATGTGGATTAGTTATTTTATATGATATAAAAGTAAAAGAAGAGCAGATTAATTGTTAATGGGAATAAAGAATCTATCTAGGTGATAGTTGGACATGATAAATAGATGCAAATACCAACTGAGTGATTACTGGCATAAAATATTCAATAGTTTATTAGATTTTAATGAGAATCAGTTGACTTTCTTTTTCAAAAAATTTGAACCACTACGCCGATTTATTGTAATCATTATATTTAGATGAATTATTTTTTAAAAAAATCACAAATAACATTTTTGCTATGCTCCACAATGACACTGATTGCAAATGAATTCAGTTAAATACAAGTGAGATTTCTGAACTTCTCTACTGATAATGAATTTTATAATCTACAAATGCACTTGTAATTCTGGCTATTGGTTACGTGATTGATTAATGTGATTTTGTTGCTTGATATATTGTACAAAACACCACAATCTTGTGGCATTTAAACTCGCATGACTCAGCTTTACAGTCTCTGATGTTACTGTTAGGCTACTTGAACTTTGAGTGAAATGCTACAGGGCTGAGATTTTTACAGGTGATTGATGGCTGAGTAGTAGTGACAAATGTTATCTTTGTATGATCTCCTTGGTTATGGTCGAATTCCATCGATCGATTTGCAAAGTGGCCACTAGTCTCAATGATTGGACATCGCAAGCGCTGTGTTGAAATGTCAAGTGGTTGGAGGTAAGTGGCAGGAAACGGAAGATTTAGTTTCTATTATTGTTAATATCGTTATCTGATAGTATGTGTTTAGTACAGTATATGATTATTAGCATGTAATATTTCAATAAGTTTCCCATACAGAAACAAAACAGCCGGCAACTGCGTACATATATTAATGGAATAAGAAAATACACTGTTTGAAATAAATGAAACGTTTTTAAGATAAGAATTTATACAACTTTTAGTTAGCACAATATTCAAGGAATTTTTTCAACGAGGTCAGCTCCTACAAGCTGTTCGCTACATAGTATATTTGCTAGATACGGTGTTGTAGAGCTCTTATATCCTTTAACTATGATTGAGTGCATGAGTTTTAGCGTATTGGCGTCTAGTTCTATCAGAAGATTGATATGCTTGAATTCTATTAGGAGTTCACCTTACTCGGTAAACGCAGCGAAGATAAATGATGCAGTGACATGATAGGCTATTCTAATCCATTGAACCGGCCCTGGCTAACTATAGCAAGAAGTCTTGATAAGGAGTAGAGAATGTATTATACAAGCACTCAGAAGATGAGAGGTTACTAAGCACACAAACCAAGCTTATTTATACAATGATAGCAACGCCCTTGGGCGAGCCACAAAATAGCGTACTAAAACAGTCCATCAACCAATGACATTCAAGGACCTTCCGTGAGCTCAAGGTCGACTGAGCGACTTATGCGCGAAAACGTAAAAAAATCCAAAATTAGGACCCTTCTCAAGTGAGTTCATGGGATTTAACGTCCCCAACGAAGATATACAAGGCAAAAAATGTAAATGGAGTGGATGGTTAGGATCTGATAACAGCTGCCAGGAGTTTGAAAGATTTCATATGTCTGTCGATAACCATATTCATAATGACCTCAAGAGACTTACTATACATCTACCTAGCCTTCAGCACTCTCCACAAAAAAGTAAAGTTGTTTTCTCAAAAGTTCAGCAAGCAGTAAATAATGAGTAGTAACATACACAAATTTATATATCGTAAAAGTGATGTTGAATCACTGAAACCAATAATCATGTTGTAACTTGGTCAATTTAGTTACAGGAATAAACAAACTTGATATTGTTCACAGATCAATCAATTATACAGATTTTTATACTGGGCTTTTGTGTTAAAGCTAGTGACAATACCAGTCTGATCGAAAATTAAAGTGAGATGGGATTAGCATTAACAATTAATTATATGATCGAAAGTCGAATAATTTAATCTCTGATCCGATATTACCAATTAAAAAAAGTTTATTTGAGGTAATCAATCTAATAAGCTAACTTTGAAAATGACAAAACAAAGAATCAAATCAATAACTAACTTGTAAGTCATCATCTAAATTTGGTAAGAAGTAAATATCATCATTTGACTCAGTTTTATTGTAAGTCGATAAATGACTATCAACATCTTCAATATCGTATCCAACAAATTTCAACAGATTGATTACTCGTTTTATGTGAATTGGATGCACTGATATGAGATTCTCCTCAGGATTAATTATATATTCCTTAATATCTAAAAATAAATTAGATAAAAATTTATACCTTTATTTATCGTTCTGCTGTTTAAACCAGTAGCTGACATAAACGAAAACAAATGACATCTACGGAATAAGAAGGCATTCGGAATCTAACAGTTAACGAGAGAAACACGTTTGAAAAGTAACTGGCGTTCCCATTACGAATAAAAAGTTTTTATTAATAAATATACACAAACTTTCGTAAACTGGAATCTGCGTCCGTTTCAGTTTGAGAAACGCATTTAAAAATCAAAATAAACCAACTATGTCATGACAGACAGAACATGCTCCTGGACGGTTTCCGTATCATCATAACTCGAAGCTGAAGGATCTCAAAGTATCTGTGAGTAAAGCGAGAAAGTATTAATGAGAACTAGTCATCTGTGACACTAATCTCGATAGCCTGAAAACAAAACGAAGGAGATTAGTAACATCGATGGTAAGAAGAATCTTTGTGTATTGCAGTCTCAGAAACATTGTGGACATCAGAAACAAATAATCACAGAAATTCAACTGGTGAGTTTCGCATTCTGTAGAGCTGATGGCTTAAATTTAAAGTGAAGCTACATTACCCCGCACATGAAAAAAACTTTAAACACACGAGTTTTTGAGGTAATAGCAAACGATTCAGTGTGATGTCAGCTGAAATGTACAGGACAGGAAATCCAAATAGAGGCGGTATAAAGTGGTCCTAAATGTACAGCAGACGACTTTGTAAAATTAAACAACGATCCCGATCAGAAAGGCGCACAAGGTTTACGTTAAGTGGCTTCAATGTACCCTTTGTTAAGTGCGGTGACTTAACGACAGTCGTAAGCAAAGATTTTGAGATGGTGGAGAAAACTTGTAGCTCAGGTGGATGATTGTGGTGGTGTTTCGTTCTCTGAGCTGGCTCAGAGAACGAAACACCACCACCGTAAGCAAAGATGTTTGATCACAGACTGTAATAATCCATAATGTCACTAGATTTGGTTTGAAAAAATCTTCGTCTTCATTCACATAGATGACGTTAGTTAAGTTAATTATCTCTCACCTATAGGGATAAGTGGACTCGCGGTAACCCTGCTGAATTTTAATGATCTTATGATCAACCAAGCAGACACGCTGGCTCGCTCTATTGTATATAAGGCTGAGATGAAGTCAATCAACTCGATGACCCATTTCGAAAGGTGAAAAGGTGACTCGAAAGCATTTAGTTGGACGGTTATGGAGTCACTTCTGGAAGTTATGTAGCCAAGTGGCAAAACCGCCTATAACTTGGATAGCTTCCAAGAAAAGACATCCGTACTTGAACCACCATGAAATCTGGAACGTATAACTACAATTCATGACTTAAAAAATACAGAGACGAAATCGCGCAAATACGTACGAACAATCTAGACGAACTTTTATCGTACATAAGTTACAGGACAAACAACGCACATCAATTGTCGCTGTGAATATTAGAGAGAGTTTGTCTCAAACAATAGAGAAATATCATAACTTGGCAGAAAGTATGGTGAAGCTTACGACAAATAGAGGTATCTTCTAAACAACCTGAGTGACAATGTGAGAAATTCGGGATGCTGCTATCCTCTTTAAATAAATACAAAATGTCGCTTTAAGGTTAGTCTGTTTCTTAGGGTGAGGTATAGTGTATTTATCCTATTCTGGGTTTTATCAACAATGAATTAAAGGTTAACGAAATCGCAGTTTGGATGAGGAAATGACCCAAACGGTCTCAACGAACATCATCTATGATGTAGCGTGCAACAGTCTAAATTTTTCCTTCAACTGGTGATATATGGAACTAAACCAGGTTTATGAAATTCACGGCTCACGATAAGGATAATAATACAAGGTGTGATTTACTGAACAAATTCGCCGTATCATTTCCAAGATCTGACTTGATAATTTCGAATGAGTTGAACTTTTCCACATTACAACTATCATATCCCTCTCATCTACAAGTACACATAGCTGGATCACAAAAAGTATTGATAAGAATATGATCAGACCTATTTTAATTTTGATTGTACTCAAATTATTTTGCTTTGTGTCATTCGTACTATCTAAACTTGTGTTAATTTGTTTTGTTTATTTCTGTTCTCTGAAGTGAATTACACTGAGTCATGAAACAGGAATTGAATTTCGATTCAGTGGGACCTTACAAATATATTAAGCTTATGATCAATTTATATATTAGTTTAAATGATTTTTTTTATGTAGAATTAAATTTTTATGTATACGGTAAAGACAATTGTCAATAATTTTAAAATATTGAGTGATGAAAACTATTTTACTCTCATATCTAATAATAGTGATGAGAGTGTTAGTAGTTAGTGGTGAATAGAAGTATGCGCATTTCCTTTTATTTTGGAATTGTCCACAGGATGGTGCGCTTCTACAAAAAGATTTTATCGGAAATAAAAAAAAACATTGTGGGGTTTTCACGGAGATATTTTTCATAAACGATAATGTAACAACTTTACTAAGTACAGATTTATATATTCAGCTTAGAGTTAAACACTATGGAGACCAGTGATACTAACTTGACGTAGTAGGATTTGGATTTAGGACATGCTTGTCAACAGCTGAGTGCGTCAACCACAAAGATGCTGCTGTAGTTTAACCGGATGAAGAACTTTATATTTGCGAATTTATTTTAAAACATTTATAAACGTACCAGCATACTTTCCAATCAGGTGATGAAGAGAGGATAGACAATTTCTGCAACCGCCAATGTCAACATTTATCTATGGATAAAAAGGTAATGAGTAGAAACATGCTCTAGAGGTCACAATAAAGAAAGCAGATACTTTCTGGGTCATGGATATATCAGAATAACAATCTATCTGCGGAACAAAACTTTAGAAAACCTTTTGTCAACCAGAAAGATTCCAGTCACCACAGAACAATAAATGGTTTCGTTATGTTGAATTGTCAGTCATAATCAACATAGAGGCTAGCAAAATGAAGCATTACCAAGGGTTCCATGCGAAATCAAAGTCGAAATTAACAGAATGAACGACAAACAATTCAAAATAGTAGTAGTATCATCGCTAGTGATGAACAACAGACAAAGAGTATGGTTCAAAAAGAAAGAATGGAGATATGGACAAAGTGGCAAAAGTTAAAGAGAGAATATATCTGTGATTGGTCATAAGCCATATCAATCAGTCTGCAACCAGAGATCTTAGTAATTGTGGGAATCTAAACCAAATGGTTTATATTTATCACCCCGACTTCGTTCAACGACCAGTGATTCCACGTCTTGATTCGGTATCTTTTTTTCAACTCACTCCTACCCCAATCCACATGGCATATCGATGTCGGTGGCGATTGGGCAGAGATAGAACATGTCCCCACCATCTCAGTTGATGAAAATTTATGATGTCAGAAACTAAACTGTCGTATTTGTCTAGTACCCAATGTCTAACAATACTGTCTACCCCTGTTCAACGACATGCGAGCAGTACATCGAAGACACTTATAATCAAAAGCGTGCAACCTACATAGGTCTTCTACCTTAATTTGTCATGTTTCTCTGTCATAGAATGATACAGAACAGGTCCTCGCCATTTTGTCACCTATCCTATAAGTCGGTACAACTAAACGAGCTTTCTAAAGACGCTCTGAGTAAATATCGACGAAGAGTGATAAGAATTCCAAGACAGGTGAAATTTTTACTGACATTCATTCAACTACTTGGAGAAAGGTGAAGTTGTTAGCATTCAGTATTATTTCATAACACGTTTGCCACCATCTAATACTATCCGGTTGGCCCTCCGATTAACTAAAAAAGTCATTTTCTCGAACAGGTTTGAATATGACCGTTTGATCAATATATAGTTAAATGCTAGATGAAGAATTATTAAGTATCATGCAAAAAATCAGGTCATTATGGGAGAATAACACTCTCAAAATCCAAAATCTGCCACGTTTTGACAACGCGATAAAACTGAAGACAGAAACTCTCAACATTATAAAATATTTGATGCTTTTAGACATTACGATGCGGTGATTTATTGTTATTCAGTTGGTAAACTGTTTTTTCACAATAAGAATGATACAATAACCAACTGATCAATAAGATCAGTTTAGAAACTTGATACATAATCCATAATTAATTTAAGGTTCATGATGTTTGCATAACTTCCAAATAAGTCATCAAGCGCAGGCGCTCGGTTGAGAGCCATAATGATATAGAATACGATACTTAGTCAGTCAGTTAAAACGAAGAACTTCGTACGTATGTACATCAGTTTAGGTTGCCACAACACATTAGCAAACAGACGCAATTGTCTATTCAAATCCAATAGTAGTAGAAGTAGTAAAGGTATTAGCAGTAATCGGACAAATTAGGGTTCGAAGGTATGATTTAAGAAGTATGATCTAGTGAAATAAACTTAAAAAGAAAAAGATAAAGGTGATGAATTCTGACGGTTAGGATTTGACAGAACACAAAGAATGAGTGCACCGGCGCCATTGCAAACGGTTTTCGGCCATGTCGTTCAGAGTCCCTAACCATCGATTATTATCATCTCGCGGACCTCAACCAGGTAATCTACACCTACTGACATGACTCAGTCCACTTGTCAGTGACTTCATGGATTTCTGCCATGCTTTGGTTCGGCTGCCCCTAGCTTTCTTCCAACCTATTCTGACATGGCAAAACATAGCTCGACAAGGTAGTCGGTGGTTAGGCATACGTAACACATATCCCAAACAACTCAACTGATGAAGTTTCAATACTTTATCTATTGACCTGCCATCCTTACCTAGCACCCATTTCCTAATAAAAGCATTGCTTACTCCGTTGTCCAATGATACACGAGCAATTCTTCGGAGAGACCTATGATTGAAAACCAGTAACCTATGAATATCTTCTACTCTGACTGGCCATGTTTCAAAGCAATCAAGTGGGATGGAGCGAACTACTGCTCAGTAGACATGTCCTTTGAGTAGCAAGCGGATACCTCGCCTAGGCCATAAGTGAAGAACGTTGGCAAAAACCAATCGAACCTTCTGTATTCGTGATGAGATTTAGTCAGTCATCAGGCCGTCAGCACTGATGAGACTCCCGAGATAAGTGAGGCGGTCAACTTGCTCAACTGTGTTACTCCTTATCACTAGTTCAGGTGCCGATACAAACCAATCCTGGAGCAACATTTTGCATTTCGATGTGGAGAACCGCATTCCGGACATGCTTGGATTGTTGCTCAGGGTAGTCAGGAGACTGCATTTCGTCAGCGTTTTCACCAAGTAGAACTATGTCATCAGCATACTTTAGGTCAACAAGCGTGTCTCCTGGCAGAAGGTCCACTCCTGAAAATTTAGACGAAGATAATGCTATATCTAGAAGCAGATCTATGACAAAATTAGACAAGAATGGATAAAGTGGACATCCCTGACGGACACCAGTTGAAGTAATCAATTCGAAGACACTAATTTAGTTTCTAGATAAAATATGATGAGTGAAACTTTGAGTCAAACAACATTTCTATGAAACGACTGCATAAGATGTGTGCATAGAGCATCATAAGGTTATTCGAAATAATGGTCAGTGGTAATTCATCTGATAACTGTTTTATTTACATCAGTGTGATATAGTCTGTACTGAATTCCGATTGACTGACGGAGTATCGTTTAAAGCATTTTTCATAAGATTACTAAAGAAAAATCTATGGTAGCACGCTCATGTGCAATAGACGGTAATATAGATTACGGTTATGACTGTAGTTGAAAAATTCACTCAAAATACTCAAACTCACCGTTGTACGGAAATTACAACCGCGTGTTAGCGATGTAATATAAATGTGATCATGAGTTTCAGATGAGTTATGTTAATGTGTTACACACTATTGTAAAACCTGATGATTATTCGATTTAAAAAATCCAAATAAAGTCAAATTATATTATATTAGAAATTATACGTAGTTTAAAAGAGATTAAAGAAACTCAGAATTTGAAAATGAGCAGTGCAAAAAGAATGCAATACCTTTGTGTATTCATTTGACATTTTGTTGCCTGTATTTAAATAAAACCAGGTTGGTAACTTCTTCTAGTATTATTAAGAGTTAAGAAGATTATTGCAATGAAGAACAACTATATTAGTTTGATAATAACCAATTTACAATAAACACTAAAGTTTTATCTAGTCTTTGACAGATTCTTGATTATGTAAATCCACACTACGATCAAGCTTCTGATGTTCGAGTAGGCGTTGATTACTATCGATCATAGCGTAAACCAACGCTGTTCCAAATAGTGTCTGACCCAAAATTAGATAAGGGCCAACGGATCGAAATGAATTGCTGTAGAGTTTGAACATCTTCCACATGCGTTTGCCATCTAACAGGTCAGGTACGGGGTAAGATCGTGTTAAAACAGCAGCGGCTGCAGAAGCAATAAAGCTGAAGCCAAAGGGTAGGACCAATCCACATACATTCTAAAGTAAAAGATAAGTGCGGAACTTTTGAGGAGTTTGTATAACAATAAGTTGGATGTTTTACAATCTAAAATGAAAATCATGTTATCGGACACATCAAACACATTAGTCCATCGGGTAACATTTTTCTGTGTGGCATGCTGACAGTGTTTAGAATTATTTCGAATTATGATTGTTTTGTGTTGGCACTAAATGCAATATAAATGGCTTTAAGTAGAACATACATTTTGTCCTCGGTATTTTAATTTTCTTGAACATCTCTCTTTAAGTCACTATCAGTTATCGTCAACCCAAAACATACAGCTTATGTGTATCGGTCTAAGTTGCCACACTTTACATCAACATATTGGGAAATTAACAAAATGTGAATAAATTATTTTCAAATGTCTGTGTAATTTGATTATCTAACACTTGTTTTATCAGGCACAATAAGATATACAACGAAGAAATACACCAAATATGAAGCTAAGTGAGAATAAAGAATTATCTCTCATTATTCTTAAAAAGTTTGAACCACAATAACTTACACTTATGAATGCTCCACGTAGTTGTAAGCAAACACTACAGTCAGGATATGACATGGAATTTGAAGGTCCAACAAGAATCTGTTTACAAACGAGATGAGTAAAACCTTGATGTGCCATGGCAATAGGAAGAAGTACACATGGAATCACAGAAAAACTAAGTCCCGATTTAGTGAACACATTATAAAACATTCTTGAGCGATAGGTTATGAATAAACTTGAAAATAAGGTGGCCACTGCTGCTACTTCGCATCCAATTTTAAGAGGTAACACCTCCAACGGTTTGTTCCAAGATTTTATTGTTTTAAGACGTAGAGAAAAAACTTCAGAGGGTTCTAACCGTATGGCACCATAAGGTACATTTTTAGGGTCATACACGAGAATTCCGTTAGTGTGTACACCTGGTTTATCCATATTTCAAATCAAAAGATAAGACGTACGCGACGAAATCTAGAAATATATAGAAATGAAGATCATTGGCAACGGAATTTTTTCAAGAATCGCTTTGTTCAAATGCAAACATTAGTGAAATGTTGATTTTTTTGGAAAGTTAAATGACTGAATATACTGGCGCACTGTATCTAGTAAGGTAGTTGAGAAGTTTGTATGTACAAAGCAGCGACAGATATAAACGTTGAGTATGCTTTCCCAAATTATACTGTTAATAGATGGACCTCAAAACTTTGGGGAGACGCATCTGAAGGTACAATAGAAAAAGAAATCTAGGAACATTTTTGTCGACTGTTGATTTCATTTCATATCAGTACAGTAGAGAAGACAGCCTCATATTCTATATATTTGTTTTGCTTAATTCAACAACCAGTACTAGCTTTTGATAGAAGAGGGAGGAATAGAAATACTGAGGATCTGGTTACTTTCGACCGTATTATCAGGTCTATAGACCTAATTTAAGGATTTCGAGCACTAAACTGAAATATTATTTGAAGACGTGAAACTACTCAAGTGTCTTCAGTAATAAGGATTGTAGGTCGGTAGACCTTTCCTCCCTTGAAGATTGCATTCGGTGAAGATCTAGCTTCTCGTTGAAAGTGTTTATTGGTGGAGATAGCACTTGCTCAGGTAAAGCGTCCCAATCATTAATCGACGAGATAAACGTAACCTCACTCCCATTTCTTTCAATCGCGGTTTTCAAACTTTGATGCTATGGCTTTGGAAATGATTAGTATCGAAGGAACAAGAGACAAAACATGTGAGCACCCATATTACTTAAGATACGAATCGCAGATATAAGGTCAACACGTGTTCAACGACTAAAGGAAAAGGTTTGATTGTCTTTAGCGCTCATCGTAGGATCGAATAATATGATCCATCACTAACTTATTTCTAACAAGCTGTAGTGTGGTAGAATCTTTAATTAGACATGGACTAGCCGCTGGGATGCGCTACTTTAGGTGAGGGATAAAACCCTAAAAACATCCTTTCTAAATTATTTGAATGCTCGGAAAATTGACCATAACGCTCAGAAACCTTTGGTGGCTACTGGATCGCAATATTCAGTCGGTTTGAAACCATGATATAGTCACTCCAGTCACTTTTGTACCTACACGAGGTGTATTACACCGTTAAATTCATCCGTGTTCATTTTGCATAACGCAACAAATCCATAACTGATTTTTAAGCCCCAACTACTAGATTATTTAGTTAATTCGGACAGGTTTGTTTGGAGGTCAAGATGATCAGATTGACTAATTATCGTTCACTATATTTTGACATTACCTACAAATAAGTGTCGATGAATCAGGCAATTTCTCAATTCATCAACGTACAGAAAACTTGGGGACCTAAGAATGACCCTTGCGGTACGTCACTGAAAACTAGTTTCCATTTGCCCTTACGCCCTACCTCTGGTCACAGTAGCTTTTCTGTCTACTCTTGTACGGCACCTGTTATTCCAAAGTATATTCCTAGATAAAACCTTCGGTAAAGTCTCAAAATATAACGTTGACTGACAAACCGTTATTTGTATTTAAATGCAGACCGCCTTATATCCTGAATCTTATGGGCCTTTCGTCCAGAATGAAAGTATCATGTATTAAGGGAGTGTTTAAAACTGAGAGAAACAGTGGACTGAAGACTTATGATATTGAATATCACTACATAATGTAAGGCCACAGATCGGTAACGCAAATTTACAAACGTGCTACAGGTGGTTGAGCGTCCAAGTTCCAAATTGGGTGAGCTGAAATGTCGAGTAATTCGGTTCCCTAAAGTTTGATTTTACGTTGTGTCATTTCTTTCCAAAAACGTCTGTGGCGAGCTCATATAAGACAGCTGACTTGGAAGAACATACTTTTCGACGTTACAAAGCTTTCCCAGATCTTTTTAATGGGTTGTAGTTCTGTATACAATATCTATATTTTATCTCCTTTTCATTTTAGTTAAAGATTTGTCCGACCACCAGGCCACGATAAGCTTGATCTTAGTTGGTCAGACTAGATGAATATTAAGGTTAACATTTAGGAATTGTCGAATCTTCAAAGAGTGCAGATGATATTTAGGACAAAGTTGCTTGAGAGGTTAAAAGAATATGGGTACTACATGCTACGCATCCTATCACTTTAATTAACAAAGTTAATGCAATCAATCCTTGATATTATTACCATCTTTCAATATTCTTCATTCTGGTTTGACTGATTTTCGAATATTCTTGACATGAATGTAGCAGTGGCCCAGTTATTTGCTGCAATTAGAATGTACTTCGGTATGGCTAGTTCATCGACATAAAATTTGTTCAACTTAACGAATAACTCCTCTTCCGACTCCCAAATGCTTGCCCGTTAATAGCTCGCTGAATTCCTTTAGCAGTAGGTCTCTTTAGGGATACTCACTCATGACTCCATAATTCATTTTTCTGTAACACAAGGATCAAAGTGTCCTGTAACTTCATAGTATATTGTTATTAACTGTGTTGTAGAAAATGATATTGAGCGCTTAATACCAGGAGTCGATTATTTGGGATAGTACAGTTGTACTTCTACTTCTCGCTTACAAACATAACAGTGGTGAAAATAGTAGAGATTAAATGCAAAACATAGTAGAAAGGCAAGTAAGTCTAAGATGTCCAATAAACATCTGTGGGGGGATTTTCAGAGCATTAGTTTGTTTCTGAAAGCATCATGAAGCAGAATGAATTAAAAATAATACATTAGCTTCGAGATCAAATTTTATTTGATATAAATATTAGAAACTGAAATACGGTCGAATATTAGGGACTTCATACACGTCCCATATTTGGCATTTAAGGTGGCAGTGCGATAGATAGGAAAAATTTATTTAGTACAAGTAAGAGTAACAGATATAAAATAATGTGATATAAAATTAATGAAGAACGGAAAAAGATAATTACAGACTGATTCAAATAATAGATAATAACAAGTGACAATGTATTAACAACATGGTAATATGACAAGGAAAACATTGATCTATTATGCGAAAAAATCGTAAACACTAGTGAGCACCAATTACCTGATCTATTGGAATGCTAGTAATTGTCCTAAACCTTCCATCAAGGCCAAAATTTTCTAGATGCATTTGGTAAGATAATTTTGGCAAGCGTTTGAAAGCCTAAGGTTACATAGCTTACAATTGGTACGAATAAGAAAGACACATCAATTCGCGATTTTTTCATGGAACCCTGGTTCCAGTATCATTGAACTTTATTCAACTGTATTACCCACGACTTACTTTGCGTCATAAATACCAGTCTCACTTGGTTTAACGTATGCATCCATTTTTATAACCAGTTGTACCAGTGATTACTTTACAGTACTTTTTCGTTTAATTGAACCAAAGCAGAAGTCTTCTTTCCTACACTGGCCTTGGGCTTACCGATTTACGCTTGGTATACTCGCTTGCATATCTTGGGCGGATCTTTGGATTATTTCGACACCACGAGATCTACAACGAATACACTTCAACTCCAATCGAAGCTGGTCTATTGATTTCTGCCTGTGACGGGATTCAACGCGGTTATTGGTGTAGCATAGCTTCAATTCGCTATATTCGGTAAGCGACGACTTTGGACGTGCATCAGTTACTGCTAAATCTGCCAACACCAAGCCCATTGCGGTGCGTCTGTTATTTGTCTATCTACATTCATCATCTTGAGTCGCTGTTTCTCAGACGATACAGATATTTCGTAATACATATAATATATTCGCAACAACTCTCCACATTGGTGGGTAGGCTCAAAAATGACTATTACATAACAGTCTCCCAATTACTTACTTACTTACTTACGCCCCAATGGAGCATAGGCCGCCCACCAGTTTTCTCCAACCAACTCTGTCCTGGGCTTTCCTCTCCAGTTCTGTCCAATGTTTGTTCATTCCTCTCATATTTTTCTCTATTTCTCGGCGTAGTGTGTTCCTTGGCCTTCCTCTTTTCCTTTTGCCTTGAGGGTTCCATGTGAGGGCTTGTCTCGTGACGCAGTTGGGTGCTTTTCGTAGTGTGTGTCCTATCCACTTCCACCGCTTCTTCCTGATTTCCTCCTCCACTGGAATCTGACTTGTTCTCTCCCACAGTTCGTTGTTGCTGATAGTGTCTGGCCAACGAATACGAAGTATTTTGCGTAGACAGCTGTTAATAAACACTTGTATCTTCTGAATGATGGCTTTGGTAGTTCTGCATGTTTCCGCTCCATACAGTAGAACTGTCTTGACATTTGTATTGAAAATCCTGATTTTGGTTTTGGTTGAAAGTTGTTTGGAGTTCCAGATATTTTTCAACTGTAGAAATGCAACCCTCGCTTTGCCAATCCGCGCCCTCACATCTGCGTCCGATCCACCTTTCTCGTCGATGATGCTGCCAAGATATGTGAAGGTGTTAACGTCCTCCAAGGCATCTACATCAAGAGTGATTTGGTTGGTGCATGTTGTGTTGCATCGGAAAATTTTGCTTTTTACTTTATGTATGTTGAGACCTATTACTGCAGAGGCTGCTGCTACACTGGTCGTCTTCTCTTGCATTTGTTGTTGAGTGTGCGATAGAAGAGCCAAGTCATCTGCGAAGTCCAGATCGTCCAGCTTCGTCCCAATTGTCCAGTTGATACCGTGCTTCACTCCAGATGTTGACGTCTTCATAATCCGGTCGATGACCAGGAGAAAGAGAAAGGTTGAGAGTAAGCAACCTTGCCTGACACCGGTCTTCACCTCAAAAGAGTTTGTCAGCTGACCTCCGTGCACGATTTTGCAGTTGAATCCATCATAAGAATTCCGTATGATGTTAACTATTTTCTCAGGCACCCCGTAGTGTCGAAGAAGCCTCCACAATGTTTTCCTATCCACGCTATCGAATGCTTTCTCGTGCTCGATGAAGTTGATGTAGAGTGGTGAGTTCCATTCAATTGATTGTTCCACAATGATCCGTAATGTAGCAATTTGGTCAGTACACGA